TAGAAGATTTATAGAAAAGATTACATTTAAGTTGAGCTTTGAATGACAGAACAACTTTGAGGGGAGGCAGCATAATTGGAACAGAGAAAAACTGAAGCAGGGAAGGTGTTAGAGATCAGATGGCAGAGAAGCAGGTGGCTGATCTGTGGACTATGATGTAGGTGAGTTTGTAAGTAGCACAGAATGCTCTGAAAAGAGAAATGAGAGCCGGGGGCAGGAAGACAGTTTGATATGAAATTTCAAAGGGCCCCGAGGGCCAGGAAGTTGGTACTCTGATAGATAATGGGGGAATAATTTAGGATCCATGAGTGGGTGAGTGATGCAATGTGAAATACGCTTTAGGAAGAACAGACAGGTGGGTATTACGATTGTTCCGTCAAGAGGTAAGGAAGCCCTTAAGTAGGATGGCTGCTATGGCCATTGGAAAGGAGGAAATGGATGGGAGAGGCTTTGGGGAGGTAGAATAAATGGGGCTTGACTTCTGACTACATATGCCCTTTCTACACCCTCTGTCTGACCCTCGTCCCTTTCCTCATCTGGTCATAGAGGGGTATTAGGTGTCCCTTAATACACTGACTTATATTTTCCGGAAAATTTCTCATCAGCATCCAGCAAGGCGTCATTTGCAATATCTATAAAAGACACCCCAAAGCACAATTCTTGGTGTGCAAAATGAAGAAGTAATATTCTGATTTCCATTCATGTTGTATTTGCTCTGTATTCTGGAATTTCAGGTGAAATTTCCCTCTTTTATCATGGGATTCTTACACTCAGAAAATGTGAACATACATTAGTATACTTCCCGTGAAGCTCTTGGCACTCAGACAGAATAGAAATCAGGATAAAACAATTAAAGTTATGAAAAATGATAGTAAATTCCCCTCTTTGTTCCATTATTCAGCTTTAAGAGCATCTCAGCTCTCTAAGAGTCTTAGAGTATTAGTTTTATATACTTAGGAAACAGACTTTTAAATACAATTACGTAACTAAATTATAAGAACTTAAGAAAAGCAATAATCAAAATAATAGTGCTTTATAATTCAATTGTTAAACAAAATCCAGACAATGTATTAGTCACTTCATTTTTTAAAGGCCAAAAAAGTAGAAAGCATATTTATGTTTATATTTTTATTTTTCACCATTTGTGGATTAGGTTAAAATGAGCTGAAGTTGCCAGTATGTGGCAACGGGTAAGAGACCCCATAGCATGGGAGGTCTTCTGGGGAGGCTTTGCCCTTGGGGATGTACAGCTTTTGAAGACCTGCATAGCTATTTTTAACATGGGAAATTCTGTATTTACAGTGCCTGGTCTTTTCTGTAGAAACATATAGGGCAGTGGGAAGCAGAGGCAAGCAGTAGGGCAAGGAGTAGGGGGCAATGGCGAGCAGCGGCTCACTGCAGGCCAGCAGCTATAGCTCCAATGCTGCTGGGATGCTCAGTGGTGGAACACAGGATGTGCCCAGGATCTGGGAAATTGGGGATCTGTCTTCAGCTCAAACTTTAAGCAGGAAACGATCTTCCTCATAAAACGGGCAAAAAATTACACCTCCTCCCCAGCCCCTCAATCAGAGCAGTTTTATAAGCAATTCTTGGGCAGAGCATTCAGAACTCAGTGCAGATTAAGGGCAGCAAGCGCTCTGGTTAATAGAACAGCCAGCTTTTATTACGTGCTAACTGTAACTAAACACTCTCTAAATACTTTTCCTGCAACTGTTTTATCACCCTGTTAAAACACCTTTCTTACCAAACCCATCTAACACGTGCAACAACTGAGATTGCGAAGTTAAGTAGCTTCCCTAAGATCCACAGCTACTGAACACAGATTCAGTCCTAACTAGACTGATCAGACTAATGTAAAAGACAAGGCTCTAAATCTTTTCCTCGCATTGCCTCTCGCTCAGATAAAGCCAGCAGCTTCCTACAGGGGATACTGATACACAGCAAGATGTGCCTTAGAAGTGCACTTCCTGTGAACCCTGGACACTTCGGCAAGTATCCGTAAGACGTAAACTTCCCAGAGAACAGGGGAAATACTTCCAGAGAACGCACCAAGGTAGTATTTTTATTAAAAATGCCTGAGAGAAAGGATTCTTAAAAGACAAGAGAATGCTGTGCTATCTCTCAAGAGTCTCCTGAACACACAGGAAAAAAATGTACTCACATTACCTCTCCAGGCCATGAAATATGTGTGCTCGCTTTCTGGGGAGGGAAAGCCTTCTGGGGTGGTTATTGTCACTGGGGGCTGTGGGATGGATTACTTCCCCTCACTCTTGTTGCCAGCTGAAAAAAACACACTGCAAAAAGATTATGGGGATGGTAAAGCTACACTTAGACAAAGATCTTATGCAAGATCAAGCAGAAAACAACCTGAAGAGAGTAAGTAAAAATGAGACAACACGAGTGGAAGAGGAGCCTGCCCAGATCCAAGTGAGGAATCTTCCCTTAGCCACAATGGAAAAAAAGGGGAAGGTCACCCTACGTTCTTGGGGAGAAGGAGGAGATGATATAAGGATAGCACTGTGTGTGGTTCTGTCCCCTCTGGTTAGTGTGTTCTCTCTCTCTCTCTCTCTCCCCTCTGTTATTGTTGCTGTTGTTATTATTATCATCATCATCATCATTACTTTACCTTAAAACATTTGTTGGATCATTTACATTCCTATCAAGTAGCTTAAATCCTTTATTGGAATAGGCTGGTTATAAATACATACTTTTAATAGAAATATGCACCTTAAATTATATTATTCACATGCATCTATAATATTTATAAATACATAAATTTTAAAAATATATAATCATTCAGAAGCTAATGTATACTATAGTATAAGAAGATGTCACTCCTGAGTTTGGGTTTAGTAGTTCTCAACAAATCATTTTTTGTCTTTGTAAAGCCCTGAGATAAGAAATCCTTCCAGATATTCTTGCATATGCATTCCTGGATGAGGGAGTGGGGTGGATGCCACCCGATCATTAGAGATGGGAATGTGGTATCTGGTGGGGTAGGGGTTGAGTGGAGCAGGGAGGGAGGAAACCAAGATGGCAACACCAGAATTCTGATCGGGAAAGCACACAGAACATGTAAGTCCACACATACAAGCAACTTCTGAAAGGGTGAGACTACCACAATACTTGGGCTGGAAATTTGGGAGTGTCAGTAATAATTTTTGTATGTCAGGGCAGAAGGTGTTAGAGTGGTCTATGAACCCAAATGAGCAATTCATGGGTGAGGACACTGTGGCTGTATTAGAACTTTCTAGGTTGAGGACTAGCGGTGGTGCCAGTCAGAGAGTGGCCTCTCCTTGGTGAATGGCAATTCCTGCTTCAACCCACTGATTCCACCCCCTTCCCAACAGGATGGAGACCCACCAGGAGGTGGGCGAGGAGTGCGTATGTGGGTATATATGAGATGCTCTGTATGTGTGAAGTCCAACACGACAACATGAGGTAGAGTTTGTGTGGGACTAGTGTATAGTGTGTCCTTTTTTACAGATGCAGAAACTAAAGTTTTTAAAGAAACAAAAGCTGAGTGAGGCAACCCTGTGGAGGTCAAAATTTGAAGATGGTGGAGTCATGACAACATTTGCTGTTCCAAATCCCTGTCCTTTGTTCTTTCTCACAGTCTATGGTGATTTCTCAGTAATAAACACATTACTGCAAGTAATAATATAGCAATTTTGTCATTACTGTAATTTTGTTGATGGAGTATTAAAATCTTCTCTTATCTCATTTAATTCTCACACTTGAGGTAGGTGACGGAGTCAGGATGTGAAAATACTTCTGCACATAGACCTAATGGTCTATTAGTGATTCTTATTCGTTGCATATCCACAGTTCATTTACTTATTAATTCATCCTGGATGTATTATTTTTATTCCTTGTTGTAAAGATATTACATATAAACAAAGCAGGACTCCGAGGGAGAGCCAAAAAAAAAAAATCCTTTTCGTTGGGCAGGGGAATCTCTTTCTTCCATCCTTTCCTTCCTCTTTCTGTCTCTTCCTCCCCTCCTCCATCGATCCCCAAACCATTAAATAAAAGCATTCTCTGTGCTAAGTGCCCTGCTAGGCACTAGGGAATAAGATTATAAAAAAGATAAAATCCCTGTGCTTCCACGGTTCATGGCCTAATTAAGGGTAGAAAAGTATATCGGTAAATAACTAATTTTAGGTCTTTTAAATCTTAAATCAGAGTACTTCAGGTACCACTGTGTTGCTTACTTATCCTCTCCCTCGGTTTTATCTTTCTACCAATATCTCACTTGTTACACAGAATACTTTGAAGACTGTACATGTATTATATTATCATGTTCTAGATAATGTCACATATCATTGATATTTTATCTGCCCTAGTTAAGAAGTATTTCACAGATAGAAAAAAAAATCTTTGATAATGGCTATAGACTAGAAGTTGGGACAATAGGTCTTGGGTCAAAACAAGGAGATTCAGGGGAGAGCACTATAGTCTTAGAACCTAGTCTGAGAGGAGATGCAGGTCAGGCCTGGGAAACAGGTCGGAGCTCTCGGTGGGATGTATACATGTGTAGTGGGGGAGCTAGATAATACCCGGAACAGCCTGTCCCCACCTGGGTCACATGTCTTTCTAGTGAAGTTTTCTTCTGTGGTATGAGAAGTTGTGCATTTCCAGACTATCTATACATATTCAAAATAAGTTCATAATGCATTTAACATCCTGACAATTTATTTTTTGGATCATCCCTTTTAATAAACCTAACACATAAAATCTGTATCTAACTGTACAACGTATATGGATGGCCTTCAAGGAATCTGTGCACTCCCTAAAATTGCATGCAAAATTGTGAGCATATGAGCATTGTTAAGAGTGGGTCTGGCTTTCATCAGAGCCAAACCCATGACTCTAGAATAATTAAAGCCCAATGAATAGGTAATTAAAAATTGAGAAATTAAGGCCCATAATAAGGGCTTTTTTTCTCTCATAAAATTAGGGCTTTTTAGCATGTGATTCGGACATAAATACTGACTTACATCAAGAGCCACAGACTGTTTGGCCCAGGACTTCTTCACTTGATCATACATAATTGTGTTGTTGATGCCAAGGCCACAGAAGATGACAAAAGCCTAGGAAAGAGAAAGCCCACTAATTAAAAACTGCAATAACTCACTGGCATAATCTAATATGAAAGCAGGCATTCATCAGAAATGGGTCTGAAAATATAATTTTATTGTACACAGAGGTAGGCCTTGGGGAAATATGCACATTAAAATTCTTAATTACTATTGTCATGTAACAGCTTTATAGCTCACATTGCACATGAGAAAAAATTGTTAATTTCATGTCATTGTGGAAAAAATGACTTTGTAAATTTAAAAACATACTTACAGTCTTACCAAATGTGTTCTTAATTCATTTAGATCGTGGACTGATTTTAGTAATTCCATTCCATTTAACTAAAGCAACCTCTTTTTAGTGGCTAGGGTGTAAAATATTTTGATGAGGAAACCAAGTGACAATACCCATGAGGTAAACGTGAAAAGGAAGGAAGGTAGATTTAGAACCAGTTAGTAAAGAAGCTGTGAGATGTTCTTGGCTAGAGAAAAATAATCGTGGGAGTTTCATGTTGGTTATTTGTTAGTGCAAAGTTTATAGGGAAGCCTGTTCCAGGCCAACCTTTCCAGGTAGAGGGCAGATGGGAATATATGGAAGCTTGAAAACCCAAGGAAGGTGATGGCCATACAGCCGGCAGAGCTGGCTCAAGGTCTCACGACTATATATAAATGCTTGACAAATTTTGGCAAATTGCTACCAGGAGACTATAGATGACTCAGCTATAACCTTTGGTTCACAAATTTATTTTCTTACCTCAAAAAGTCGTTGATCTGCGTCATCAAAAGCTTTCCCATCAAGTCTATTTAACACCTGAGCCACTCCTGTGGGAAGAGTTTGGTTTATGTGGTCAGTTTCAGCACTGCTCACTGTGTTACCACAATATAATAAGCCCCGGCTGACTCCATACCTCCCCTAGGTAACTTCAGACACTCAGTTTAATCTCTGGTCTCCCTAGTGCCTGCTGTCTTTAGGAGAGGGGATCTGAGGTATACAGCAATGCAGTCGATCTTCAAGGTTGTGATATCCAAACTGGCTCACAGTGAAGCCTAAAGCTCTACCAGGCATCAGTCTGAATCCTTGAAAATGTTTTTCAAGATGACTGTGCACAATCACTCTGATCTATCGGACACATATATACACATGGACATACATATACATGCAATTAGATACATAATTGAGCTTAACTGTGTAAATACACATGTGTGTGCATGTATATATATAATTTTTTTTATTTTTTCAATCCCCTGGAACACAGTGCTTGAGTGAGGCAGGGTAGCATAGTGATTAAGAACATGGGCTCTGGTGTCACACTGTCTCAGCTCACATTTCAACTCCACCACAGCTGTTACCTTAAACAAGTTACCTAACTTTTTTAGCACTAAAATTCTTCATCTGTAAAGTGGGAATTAAAACGTTAACTATCTCAGAGGGTTAGGAAGATTAAATGAGATAATGTTTGGGGGCGCCTGGGTGGGCTCAGTCAATGAAGCATCTGACTTCAGCTCAGGTCATGATCTCACGGTTCGTGGGTTCAGGCCCCGCATCAGGTTCCCTGCTGACAGTGTGGAACCCGCTTGGGATTCTCTCCCTCTCTCTCTGCCACCCCTGACTCGTGCTTTCTCTCTCTCTTAAAATAAATAAATAAACTTTAAAGAAAAAAATAAATGAGATAATGTTGGAATGTTTTAAAGTGAACATTAAAGAAGTTGGGAATTAGGACACCGTCAATCTTCAAAGCAAGGTTAGTTCTGCTTCTGCTACCAATGAGGTACATACAGTTCTAACAAACTTAATTTACGTACACTTCCTCTTTCCAAAGTTCATTTCCAGCACTGTGCCAGATGTCTCAAAACATACAGCTCTAACCAGAAAAACTGAACAATCTTGAAAAACATTCTCCTGTGTCCCCATTTAGTACAAACAAAAAAATAGCTATAATTCTAAAGCATGGTTGTGTTTTTTAAAATACCTAACTTCTCACTAGGGAGGTAAGTCATCATATGCTAGAAGACATATGTAATGAAACACAAATCTTTTAGCATGTAGTAGGCAAACTGCAGTCTTAGTTTTGAAAGTATAACAGATGTTTACTGTTACAAATGAAAGCTATGGGGCACCTGGGTGGCTTAGTGGTTAAGCGTCTGACTCTTGATTTTGGCTCAGATCATGATCTCTCCTGGTTCGTGAGTTCGAGCCCTGAGTTGGGCTCTGTGCTGTCAGCTCAGAGCCTGCCTGGGATTCTCTCTCTCCCACTCTTTCTGTCCCTTCCCCACTTGCCACCCCTCCTCAAAATAAATAAAAAATAAAAATAAAAGTTAAAAAGAAAGGAATGAAAAGCTAGGATTAGATTTGAGATTGCCATTGGACACTAATCTTAGAATATTCTGTGTTCATTAATATATCAATATTTTTCTATAAATTAAGCAAATGGATGAAAAAATTCTGTTATGGCTCAAGTCTTGACAATATTGACAGAATACTAAGTTCTTGATAAGCAGCAGTGTCTTTCAGTTTAACAGGCAATGTCAGGGGGAAGCGAAGAGAGGCAAATAGATGCACTAGTAACTAGTCCCCTAGGAAAAAAAATCATGTTTTAATTGTGTTTCAATAATTTTAACTAACTCCTTCACTCTTTATGACTTCTCTAACCACTGACTTCTTCCTTAGGTTTGATACTTTCCTGACTGAGGTTTTGAGGGGAGGGAAAGAAGAACAGGAGGTAGAGAAAACTTAGAAGCTCCTTTGGACCACAGTTCCATATTCCGGGTCAAGTACAGCCTATTTTAGAATCATCCAAACAGAAAGATGCATGCTCAGTATATGTCTAATACTACATGTTTTGGGGGTGCCTAGGTGGCCCTGTCAGTTGAACATTTGACTTCGGCTCAGGTCATGATCTCGCCAGAGATGAGTTCGAGCCCCGGGTCAGGCTCTGTGCTGACAGCTCAGATTCTGGAGCCTGCTTTAGATTCTGTGTCTTCCTCTCTCTCTGACCCTCCCCTGCTTGCATTTTGTCTCTCTCTCAAAAATAAATAAACATTAAAAAATAAAAAAAAAATACATGTTCTTTTTCCTTTGCACGTACTTTGTGTGTAAAAGCATAGATGTAAACATAAAGATGTAATGGAAAGTCTGTATAGGAGTTAGGAGCCCTGACTTTTAATCTCTACCCTGCTACCGACTCCCTCTGTGATTTTATTCTGGCCTTTGCATGATACCCCCACCTCAATTTCTACAAGGTAAGATACGAAAGTCCTATTAGTTGATTTCTGAGATCTCCTCCAACTTCAAAATTATTGGTCCTTGGTTAAAAGAATAAATATTTGGTCATTGTTCGGATTAATGTTGATTCACTAGGAGTCTGCACTTATGAGATTAAACAAAAGAATGAAACATAGGCTGACGAGTCCTGGACATAAAAGAGGGGAGCAGGTATCAATCCTTGGTCTTTTCAGTAAGATCAAGTGTAAAAGGGGCGAGCAGGTAAAAAAGATAAGGTGTATTGTAATGTAAATTTGTCTTTATAAAAGAAGTTTGAACTACTTAGGTAATGTCTTACCAATTATTTGGTGGTTGCTATTCCAAATAGGGACACAGAGAACAGATCTTATGTGAAAACCAGATATCTGGTCAGCCTAGGATATAAGAAAATAGTTAATTAAAATTAAGCAACATTTACCCATTTCTGACTTACAGCTTACCAATCTTCATAATAGACATTTTAAGATCACTTTTAAAAAGATACATTATAATCTATTTTTTAATGCATACACTCGCCTGTCTCTTTTAATTTAAAACATCACTATGAACATCCTAAGGGGATCAAGTCCCTACCAAATATGAATCAACCGAATGACCCCATGTCAACACCACCTCCCCCAATCCCTGCAGCCACAGAGAACTGAGTGTAAAACTCTTGATCATGATCATACTACCAGACAAAAATTCTGGCAACTGTTTCCGCCCTGAGTATAAAGCATTTTAATTAAACCAGTGGTCAATGGGCACATCTGTTAGTAAAAGTGTTTTGAGCCTATAATGCTGCCATATGTATAATTAGTTTTAATACTCTATATTTTTAACATCACTAATTTACTATGTATAAAATAATATACAAAAAATTGAAGTTGCAAAAATATACAATAAATGTAGAGGTTCAGAGATCTTCTTTCTTCTAGAAGGCTGTCAGATGACATATTTAAAATATGAAGGTATAGAAACCAGGATCAACAAACGTCATTCAGTAAAAGCTCCATGTAATATTAAAACTGATGGTCCACATCTAAACTGTTAGATAAGAGCTACTAAAGACTGACAGGGCATTGGTGAGTTCATATGACCTTGAGTTCTAGTGAGAAAGGTCATCCTGCCATCCCAGTACTATAGGAAAAACAATAAGATATCAAGGTTTTAGATCATGATTATTGGGGTAAAAAGGTACTGTAATATTTTAAAATATTCATTGTAACACATAAGAGCTACACATTTAAAACATTTGAAATTGGAAGTTAATTTACACACCTAAATTTTATGTTTGGATTGTTTTGGTTTTCCTCTGAGAAAATAATCTTCCAGATGTCTTCTATTCTTGATACCAATATGTAAGTTTCTTTTTTTAAAGTACTTTTTTTTTTTGTTTTGTTTTGTTTTGTTCAGGAAATCTTCCTCTGCTCCTGGACCATGAAGATATTCTCCTATTCTTTTCCTAGAATCTTTATAGTTTTACCTTTCACATTTAGATCTGCAATCAAACTGGAAATGATTCTCGAGAATAGTGTGAGCTAAGAGTCAAGATTCTTCCAGTATCTATTTATCTACCACCTCCTATGCACCAGACACATTGCTGGTGTGGATATAAAAATGAAGTTGAGGATATAAAAATGAAGTTAAACAGTTGCTTGAGGAGCTCACAATGTAGAGTGAAGATAGAAATAGTTAAGATAAAATAAGTGTCCAAGTAACGAATGTTCAGAATACTATAGAAAAACCAGCAACTGACTCTGTTTAGAGAAATCAAGAGCAGCTTTAGATCCTTACAGGTGAGTCTTCAGTGACAGGGATGACAGTGACGATGATGAGCTAACATTTGCTGGGTGTTTGCTTCATGTCCGGCACCCTATTCGGCACCTTCTCGTGCATTATCTCATTTACTTATTAAAACAACCTTACAGGTAGGTACTGTTAACATCCTCCCTTTCAGATAAGACTCTGATATCTGCCTTGAAACTGGAGAGACTGGTTCAAAGGAAATCAAACAATAAAAACACATCCATCAAAGTTACCCTCCAAAAGAAACAAAGTGGTTTTCCTCCTCTCCCTGAGGCTAAAAGTCTGAATTACAGCGATGCTAGTGAGCAGGAGGAGATTGAAGTCGATTTTCGAGGTCTAGGAGGTATAAGCTACAGACTTGGACTGGCCAGAGCAGCACTGGAATGTGTGGGTCTGTTTTGCTAATGGACACACAATTGTCGGGTGTCCTGAACCGGTGCTGAGAAGGAGGCACGATTGCTCTGCCAGCTCTGGGACCACCATGGCCCCACTCTAACCCTTCCTAGGAGATCTGAAGCAGCTGAGGAGAGAGGTCATGGTGCAAGAAGACAAGGAACATGCAGTGAGTGAAAGAAACCAGGACAGAGACGGCTTGAGAGGCTGGTGGGGAGAAAAACAAACCCTAGGCTGTTTGCCAGTGAAATAAGCAAGAATTCTGTTTACCAAAAATTATTGTAGTTCCCCAAAAGAAGTTTTTATTCTGGGGAGCTGAGAGTATGTGTTCTTCCATCCCTCCTGAGGATAGCATGGAAGTCTCTGGTTTGAGTAAGAGTGGCTGGAGTCCCTTGATGTGGGGAATACAGGAAGTTTGAGTAAGATGATCCTGAGTTCAAGTTATAATTGAGATGGCAGGGGAGAGGGCGGTTAGGGACTCATCCTGATGTCATCAGCCTCTGGTTCTAATTGATTGAGTAAAATCACCAGGGAAGAACTTGTTCAAGGAAGACACAAAAGGGCTGAAAACTGAGACATGATATTTTGGGCAGAAAGATGAACACAGGGTCAGTGACAGGGAGGAAAAAGAACTCCAAAGCTCATACTCTTAATCTCCATGCTTTGTAGCATTTCTAACGTGTGAATACATTGCTACAACTTTTCTGGAAATAGATTTACTGATGTGTATCCAGAGTCCAAAATGTATAAATACCCTTGACCAATTCCTAGGTCTAGAAATTTATTCTATGGTAATTATCATAGCTATACACAAAAGTTTACATATAAACGTGTAAATCATACCATTACCAATGATAGTGATATATTAGAAATAACCTGAATACTCAACTAGAGGGAGTAGGTTGAGTAAACCATAGCACATCTACACAGTGGAATATTATCCATCTAATTTAAATCATGCTATAGAAGAATATTTGTTAATGTGGAAAATTTTAACATATTAAGTGACAAGAGTGTGGGTGTCTGTGGGTGTACAAACACTTACTATATACATTGGAAAATCCTAGAAAAATTATAACCAAAGTAGTCCTCTCTGAATTGTTTGCCTATGGGAGTTTTTGTTTCTTTACTTTAAAAATAATCTTTACTTTTTAGAACAGTTTCAAGTTCACAGCAAAATGAATGCAAGTACAGAGAGTTCCCATACATCTCTTGCCCCCACACATGCACCTCAACATCTCTCAGGACCAACATCACTCACCAGAGTAGTACTTTTGTTCGTACTGATGAAACCACACTGATACATCATTATCATCCCAAGTCCACAGTTTACATTAGGTTCACTCGTGATGCTGTACATTCTATGGGTTTTGACAACGGGGTCATGACATGTATCCACCATTAGAGTATCATACAGAGTAGTTTCAGTGCCTCTCAAATCCTTTGTGCTCCACCTGTTCATTCCTCCATCCATGTTCAGATCTGGCAACTACTGATCTTCCCCCCGCCCCAGCTTTACTGAGGTAAAACTGACAAATTTATAACATGCTTAATGTGTACATCATGATGATTTGATATATGTATACACTGTGAAAGTATTCTTTCTTTTTTTTTTATTTTTTAAGTTTATTTATTTTGAGAGAGACAGAGTCAGCACGAGTGGGGGAGGGGCTGTGGAGAGGGAGAGAGAGAAAATCCCAAGCAGGCTCTGTGCTGCCAGCACAGAGCCCGATGTGGGGCTCAAACCTACAAAGTTGCGAGATCATGACCTGAGCTGAAACCAAGAGTCGGACACTTAATTGACTGAGCCACCCAGGCGCCCCTGTCTTTGGGAGTTTTTAAATTACTATGTGCGGGTGCCTGGGTGGCTCAGTCAGTTAAGCGTCTGACTTCAGCTCAGGTCATGGTCTCACAGTTCATGGGTTCGAGCCCCACAACGGGTTCTGTGCTGACAGCTCAGAGCCTGCAGCTTCCTTCAGATTCTGTCTCCCTCTCTCTCTGCCCCTCTCCTGCTTGTGCTCTGTTTCTCTGTCTCCCAAATAAATAAACATTAAAAACATTAAATAAATAAATAAATTACTACTTGTGTTTTCTAAATTTTGGATAATGAATTACTTTCCCATAAGGGAACAAGTTATTTTCTAAATAGAACTAGAGTGGAACAATAGTGTCAAATTTTGCAGAATAGTCAAACAGGATAAGCACCGAAAATGGGTTCTTGGATTTAGTAGCACAGAAGGATAACTGAAGGCAAATATAGTCAGGGCAAGAAGGGATGGGATGAGGATCAGAAGTCAAGTGGTTAGTTCTGAAGGAGAGGGAGGCCACAATGAGAGTGCAGAGCTGCATGGATCCAACATTAGAGGCTTGCATGGGCTGAGCACAACAGGAGAGGAGAGGCAACAGAGGATGTTGAAGACGTCTTTTTTTTTTTTAATGTTTATTTTTGTGTGTAAGAGAGAGTGTATGTAGGGGAAAAGCAGAGAGAGAGAGAAAGAGGGATACAATGATCGGAAGTGAGCTCTGTGTGGACAGCAGCGAGCCCAATGCAGGGCTTGAACTCACAAACTGTGAAATCATGACCTGAGCCCAAGTCAGATGCTCAACTGACTGAGCCATTCAGGTGCCCTGAGAATGTCTTTAAATCGTTCTCACTGTGGCTGAGGGAAGGAAGTGAAGCTGGGACTAATTGGCTATGAAAATAAGGAAGAGAAAGCAGTAATGATCAGCATGCTTGAAGAGCCCAGCAAGATGGGAGAGAGGGAGGGGAATGGCAGAGTATGATGAGGGTGAACTTTCCAAATTGAAGATCATTAAGGCAATCCCCCCACTTGTCTATCTGTAGCAATGCTGTTGTTTCTAGAAAGTTCAACTAATCCAGGTTGATTATATAACCATATGAAATGGCAAGGACTGGGAGCACATATCATCCCCTGCAGGGACTGCAGGAGAAGAGCACAAAATGTCTGAAGAATGAATACCAAACAAGGATGAAGAGGAATAAGAAAGTATGAAGGAAAGAATCATCTCTGTTCATCAAAGAATCCCAGGTCTCCAGATCATATCAGTCAATGGCGCTCAGAAATATTTACTGGCCTCTCAACCCCGACCAAGGCACTAGAACTCTCTGTCTCAATTTTGTCATCAATATTGATCTTGTGCACACCAAAATGTCAACATTGGCTATCTCCAG